CCACTAGATTGGCTGGACGCTACCCGTGGCCTAGAATCACTGACCATCATCTTCTGGGCCATACCACTGGTCATCTTACCTGTGTACATCTATGTGGCTCTGGGACTTTACTACCGCTGCCTGCTGGGGACCATGACGGTTCTCACATTCCTAGGAGGTCAGTGAATTATTATGTTTTATTGTGCGGTCAAAAATTAGTGGTGCGACTTATTTTCAAATATCTCCTCAACTATGGAACATAGGTTCTCCAATTTTTGCACAGTGAATTGTATCAATTTGTCTTAACAGATCAACATTTTTGTAAACACCTGCAAGCTATATTCTAGAAAATTTCTTAATAAATACTAATAAAAAATCCAAGTGGGTGGTTTCTACAGATTTTAAAATGTTTACAGCTGGGGCAATATTATAGCTTTTAATAGCAAGCCCGTCAGGTTTTTCTAGTCGGGACATTATGCTTACTAAACGCATGTTTTGAGAGCCATTAGAGCAAAAATGTGTTCACTATAACAATAATTTCTTGTAACAAGTTTTGCAAGTAAAAATTGTCTTTGATGAGCCGTGACGTAGGCCATATGCGTAATCAAAATGTGTGTGAGAATCGGGAAGTGCTGTGAACAATACCATTTTACGCGTGACAGAGGTTTCAAATATTCTATATAAATTAAAGAAGAAAAGTTTTTTAATCTAACCCTAATTGTTATAGAAAAATATGATTTAGTTACGACGAATTGATACAAACTGCTAGGCAAAGTATGGACGACATTGATTCACCCGTAAAAGAGATATTTAAGGATAAGTTGCACCACGAATTTTTGACCGAACTATAGTAAGAGTTTCAAGTCACTTGCATCACAATTAGGGGATGAAGATTAGAAGTGCTACTTGAGAGTAACATAAGAAAAAAAGAAGAAGAATAGATAAAGACGATAGAAGGCGTCTGACTGGAAAGAGGGATCAAAACCACACCTGAGCACCCGCCAACCACCCATTTTAAAATCGTTTATATTCCAGTGCACACTCATGCAGATAGTTTGGTCAAACCGCTGTTTGATTATGCTTGATTTGATACATTATTTGAGGGCAGCTTATTTTCCTCCACCGAGGGAGGGATAAAAGCTACCATTTTGGCATAATTTGATCAAGTCCTCCCAAATAAAACATGTTTGATTTTTCAAGGTCACGATTCGGTAAAATTGAGGAGCATCGTTGCCAAAAGCCAATCACTAAGCCATTACATATCAGATGGCATTGTGGGATCAGATCTTCTGAATCTGGGTAAAATTTGATAAAGTAAAGCAAAGGAGATGTCTGCTATAGTGTGCACAGGCCAGGGACTTTTTAAAGAACCCGATCCACATATTTCGACCCAGCCCGACCCGACTCGACTTGACCCCTTTTGATCATGTAGATCGGATCCATTTAACTTATGGCCACCCGTTCTTAGGCTATTTGGAAACCGACACGCATGGATAGATCAAAGTACACGTACAGGAAATAATGTTCTCTCTTCAGAAGTTGTAAATGTTTTACAAAGCCATCGATATAGTGTAGATCGGTGGACCGCTTCGATCCTGCCTGTTTGTGACGCCTTGGGCTGAGTGGAATGCATTATCCCAACAGAAAGAGGGGAATACATCATGTTCTCGATACAGTGCACTTCTCTGCTCTGGAATTGAACTGACGTGTTTTGCCTACGACAGAAAGAAGTCAACTGAAGCAGTGGGTTTCTTTTAGATCAGATGCACTAATGTTTTGGAAAGTCAAATTTTAAGAGTCGGTTTTAAGTTTACCACATTGCCAGGTATAAGAGATCTTTACCTTATTGTGGGGCACTCCCATAACAATACGGGTTTAATCTGGCTGTTTCGTTTTCTATTTTTTGTAACTGTGTATGTTATTTTCTGATCCCCTCGCCCCGCCCCCGCCCCCACCCCCAATTCCCCATGCGCACACACTTGTATTGAGGCACCCAACCCTACTATAGTCGTATGATATTAGTTTGGACTTCCAACACTATTATGACATGCCTATATTTTTAATAATGATATATTATGTAAAACTGAGGTCATATACATAATTAAGTACTTTCAAGTTCACCACGCATTAGTTCTTGGGTTTTTTAAGTACCTGTAATCATCTTTAAAAGTTTGTTATAAGCAGCTTGAGAAAATTACTCCATTATGAAAGTAAAATAATGTTATTGTTATCACATCTAATCTAATAATTTTTGTAAATCTCAGTTCATCGGATTTTATCATTGTTTCGGTCCGCAGCCGTTTGCAACATTATCGGTGTCATCATCTTCGGCATCAAAGTAGGCGAGACATCAGAGTTTGGAGTGGGATGGTGTCTTATCGTCTGTGCAGTTGCAGCCGCTTTCGGCATTGCTGCTTTCTTCGTCTTCCTCATTGCCACTTGCAACCGACCTAAATTTGCCCCTGAGCGCCATTTTGTATCCGGTTTCTACGTTGATCCGGATCGGAATCGTATGTATGTTGTAGAGAATGTGGAACCGATCAAAGAACCGATTGTGGATGACGTGGTTCATGTCAGTCATGTGAATCCTGCCTTGTCTGATGACTGAGAATATCGACCTACCAAGAAATAGAACGTTGATAGCTATGACAATGTGTATGAGTGGGTCAAGGTGCCTGCAGTAGAAAGTACACTGGTTTCTTCACCCAGTGAAATGACCAAGGCACAGCAACTCTACTTGAAACTTGCTACCCTTTATTGTATTTGTTTTGTTTGTGGTTCCCTCCTCTATTATTGTCAAATCCTATTAAAAAATGATTGGTTGAAGTTGCCAAACATGTAAAAATTTCAGGTACGGTATCTGGCAATCAGAAATGGGTTTTTCGGTCAAAGAGGTTTTTCTCTATATTATTTTCTTTGAAGTCAGATAATAGAGTTAATGTAGTTATCAATGATGTTTCATTATAAGGAGCGCATGAGCCATGGTTTTCGAAGAAACTAAAGCACGTTTTGTTGAGTATGAAAAAATGTTCATTATTCTCTCGCTTTAAATAAACGGCATACACATATTATTACGATGAGTGAGTAAGAACACCATTTAGTAAATTCAGCTTTAATTTGTAGATAGCCCACAAAATAACAGATCTATTCCTAAATATTTCTCTGCAGTAATATCTAGGCTACAGATTCAAGAAAGCTTTAAAAATGCTTGGTTTGTGCTAGGTCAAAGGACGTTCTCCTTTCCACACTTTACAATACAATTAATTTGTTCCAACTTTGCCAACATTTTTGGAGCAGGGTGAAACTTTTGGCCTATCATAGTAGAAGTTTTTGTTCAGTGAATTCTTCAAGGTGCTGGAGTCATTTCCTGCTATTTGTCCGACACTAATCACTTATCGCATTGTTTTTGTTTATGAAAGCCATTTCATTTGAATGTTTGAATGGTAAAACAACCAATTACATACTGTGTGGATGCTATCCCCCCTCCCCCCAACCTATCCACCCTCCCCAACCCAACCCATCTCTTACCCACCCCAACGACCTACCCTCACACCCACTCAACTCCCACCTCTATGAACGTTTCTATCTACGTTTGAGCGTACTTCATTAATGTCATTGTAATTCTATTGTCTCTTTACAATGTTGTAGTTTTTGCTGTGAGAAACGTTTCTAGCGGGAACAATTGGGATCAAGTTGCCAGTGTACTCTTCAGTGATTTACATGAGCTTATAAAATCTTACTTGCCTTTCGGTACACTTTTCAGTCAATGTTTCTATGTATATTACCAAACGTTAATTTAAGTGCCAAATTGAATGCTGTATGTCCATTTTCGAAGAGGAGAAACTAAGGCAATTTCTATCTATGCACTGATTCCCTCTTCTCTCTCGAGCTGTACATCATTTTTTTACACTTTAAGCTAACTACAACTTCATAAATTTGTACAGATACTTTCTAGGCTATATATAAGGGCTACAACCAAACTGATTATTTATACCAGTTTGTATCCCAATTTATTAAACTATTCTTTTCTATTGTTTCGATCACACAGACTGTTCATATTTCATGTGTTTTATGTACCTCTGTGCAGTGTGCTGCAACTTTACTGCTCTGTAATGATTACGTAGCTCAATAAATTCTGACAACCAGTCAGTTATCTCTCAACAACAGTGTTGATATTTTATGTATGGGATGTATCGATGCATGCTCACCTGGAGCAAGGTTACTCTGTATTCCTTTATGCATAATTTATTATTAATGTTTTGATTACATGCCTGGTGTATAGGCCTATAGAATCGTTCTGTATACGGCATCAAAAACATACAAACAAATAACATGCTCGACGAGACGTTTTGTAGCAAGGGAAACAATTGCTAAACTTCTTGATCTCAGTAACATATTATTATTTCCCTTCGTCCTTTGTAATTATTAGTATTCTATGTAATAATAGATAACATCAGTATAGAGTAAATCCCCACTCAACAGCAAGGGCCATGCGCTTCACAATCTATACGATTACCCCAGCAGACCTGAGAGTATTCTGAGACAACCTCAACTTCCTGGGAATCATACAGTGCACGCAGTCATTTATAGGCACTAAAACCCTAACATACTAACAAGATCTGTCTCTGTTTATGGCCGGGTACCCATTCCTACCTGGGTGAAGTGAGGAAACTTTGTATAAAGTGCCTTTCCCAAGGACAAAACGTCGGGCCGGAGGTTCGATCCCCTGAACACACAACCTCACAATTACGAGTCCGGTAGCCTAACCACTTAGCCACCGACGCCACGTTCAGACGCATGCACTTTAAAAATGAAAATTAGTTAGCAAGAATGTTTCCAAAAAACAAAACGCATAATGAAAAACACGGTTTTATTTGTACAGAACTCTTCATCAAGCTACAAAAACCAAGCAAGACGAGAGTTGAATGTGTCTGTCCACTTACTTACAATTTAAAGCAATGTAGATAGTATATGGCAGAATGTAGAGAGTAGAGCTTTAGTAATTGGAAAGCAGCAGTAACAATATTGTGTCAAAGGAACACAAAAAGAGCGGATTCAAAACAGGAAAAAAGTAGTGTTGAACAAGCAGCAGAGGACGACGAAGAAAAACAAGAACGAGGATGAGGAGGAGATGTAGTAGTAGTTGTAGTAGTAGTAGTAGTAGTAGTAGTAGTAGTAGTAGTAGTAGTAGTAGTAGTAGAAGTAGAAGAAGAAGAAGAAGGAGAAGAAGAAGAAGAAGAAGAAGAAGATGAAGAAGAAGAAAAAGAAGGAGAAGGGGAAGAAGGACGCATGGCAAGCTGTCAAACTTGCAAAATGTTAGAGACTCATTCCTCCTTGCTCACGAATGGAAACGTTCAAAAAGAAGAAACCCATTAAAGACAACATACTTATCAAGTGAACAAATCACAAGAGTAAAATAATTACAAAATATACAACTGTACACAATATAGGTAATAGAAACGGTGATTTACATAATAATATCCATTACAAGCATAAAATAGAGCTCTTGCATCTGGACACAATGTGGTGAAAGCCTATCAATTTCTTTCGTTCAAAGTGATGCTACAACGCATTCTTTTTTCATCATGACAGTTACTTTTCTGAAACATAATAATGTGAATAAGACCGGCTTCTTTGGTGTAGCAGTTAGGTGCATCAGCTTGACATGTAGAAGACCCGAGTTTGATTCCCTTTAGGTGTGCATTTTAATTGAGCAGCTTCTCTGCTGGGATGTTGTTGTATCCCTTTCAGCACAGGTTGGCCATGACGGTCACGATTAAAGCCCACCTACTAAATAATTTCATTTGTTTCGATGGGGGCGTACACACGTCTGAATTAGATGAAAAATACAAGAACTGCGGGCTACTTCTTCCTTGCATGCCAGGACCAATGTCCCAAAAGACAAACGGAGACATTCGATGTAAAAAAAAAAAATCCCAGCAACCCCAAATGGGAAACAAAGTCACATTTTTCTGCATGCCAAAGCTACGTGTAGGAGCCAAACCACTGCACCAGCCTCCGGTAAAGCGTGTCGTTTACTTTACAGATAGTTCTTCTTAATTTTAGGCCTGCTACAAGGCATCAAGAAATGTACAAGAGCAGACAAGACAAAGCAGGCACCTGCAAAAACAAAGGACCAGGCGTAGTTGCCCGACATGTCATATATCCAGCCGGCCAACGGAGCCCCCAGCATAGAGGCCAGGCCTTTCACTGTTGTCAGGAAGCCAAAGGCTGAACCCAGGGAGTCGAGGCCGAAGTATTCCACGACAATAAGGGGCTGGAGTGGTGCGAAGAAACCTGGTTTGGGAGGGGGGGGGGGTGGTTGTAGAGGGGGAGATGGTTGGTGAATAGGCGTATGAGAAAATAGAGAAACACAGGATAAGGATCATTGAATGACTTAGACGCGAACATCCCCCCTCCCCACCAGAACAGAACAAAACAATACAAAACAAATAAAACATCACCAGACAACCATCACCACCACACATACAAAAGCGCTTTTCCACTAAACATCATCATCATCAACAACAACAACAACAACAACAACAACAACAACAACAACAACAACAACAACAACAACTGCTCTCCAAGAATTGCTAAATCAATAGGTCTCTGGCTGGACTCAGGTAAACTAAATCAGGTTTTCGCAAAGTAACTATAAATATTTCCCCAGCGTTAGTTGCTTATGTCATGGTGTTACGACGGGGAGGAATCAGGCGCTCCTCAAAAATGAAATCGGGGAAACCGGCAATTTTCTGCCAGTTTGGCATTTTTCATCGAGTTTTTGTTTTTTTGGCTCTACGCTCTATACGTCTAACTGAAAACATATTTCGGAGTGAATTTTACAGAGAAACGTTGATTAAAGGCACACATATTGCAAATGTTCTGTTTCCACAGACTCTCAATCTATGGAAGTTACCGAACTTTGGCGTCCATTTTCTCGCTAATTTTACCTGTGATATCAGTCCATCCTCACCTCCTTAAATCGCAAATATCTTGACCTCTGTTCAAGATAGATGGATATTTCTTTCTTCAAAAGCAAGACGAATAAAAAAGCTTTAAGATAAAACCAACAACTCTATATACCCAAAAATTGACGAGCGCCTGATTCCGTCGCGTCGTGACGATAGATTTATATTTTCAAAGCGCGTTTTTTTTTATATACGTGGTGGGTTTTTACCACTAGTATTAATTATCCTTGCAGCTACACTGATCAGAACGACACACTTTAATTCACATATTAGTACTAGTAGGTCTATACCCTGCATTGCCGACATAACCCTACATAATTCTTTCAAAACAATTACTCTGGCATATAGAGAAATATATGCTATCCGGCATGTATTTGGTACCGTGGTGCTGGTAGAAAAACTGATCAAATTTTATAGGAATCGACTCCAAACGATCTTGTCTTACTGGAGGTATCATCGTTATGAATATTAGCAATATTTGACGAAAAAAAAATATTTAAAAAGGTATGAGTGAGTGGCAAGCTATGTGTACAAACTTACTAACCCCCCCCCCCCCCACACCCCCGGGGAGGTGTCACTGACCTACGTGTCTTCCGGCCATTCTCAAAGGGGGGAAATCTTTCGTTCTAATGCACGGTAGAATTGTAAATGGGCTGATCCAGCAATGTCATGCTCATAACTCTGCCTGAACTACAACAAGGAACTGCTGCTTTTTCCTTCCTAATCCTTACTATCGCCATTTTCCTCTACTTCTTTTGTATGTTTGTCACACTCTTGTGACCCACTATTTCCGGGGTGCCAGTGATAGTCGAAGCAGACTTTGTGCTGTTGAAGCTAGAGAGGTGAGCAGCGCATACTGTACATTGTTGATTATGAACATCTTTTTACATTTAATTTATGAGGTTTACGTTTATAGGTGAATTTGACAGCGACAATGTTTCAAATTTAGAAAGGGAAGCAGTGATTATTTTATTATATAGACGCTTCGCCCCTGGAGAGTAAGTCTGATGCCCTGTAAGGACTTTTCTATTGACATCCACCTCTTGGCGCTCATATGACCTTATGCAGTTGCGAGCGCCGTAAAACCTCTACTAAAATAAACAAAACGTACCAAGGAAAAAGCCAAAAAGGGCGGCCAGCAGACACAGAGACCAGAACTGTGTGTAGAGCGGAGACATCAGACAGACTACACCGCCCAGCAGAAGGGACAGGTTGTTGATGAGTAACGGGTCCAGACTGAAACTGGCCATAGCTCCAGAGAGCAGGCGGCCACAAATGTTGAGGGATCCTGGAGAGTGAAGGAGTGAAGCAATGAAGAAGTGAAGGAAGGAAGAAGTGAATGAGTGCAGGAGTGAAGGTGGGGGCTTGATAAACGTTACAGATCAAGAGCACTGGGCATCGCTCTGTCATTTAAGTTTTTGTGCCAAATTATTTGACTTCATTTTCTGTCTTGTTTTTCTTTTCCCTCTTCTTTCAGCACCCGACCCCTTTCCACCACCTCCCCTTCTCTCTCTCTCTCTCTCTCTCTCTCTCTCTCTCTCTCTCTCTCTCTCTCTGTCTGTCTCTAAATCCCCCCCCTCGCCCTCTCTATCTCTATATGAGCATGGGAATTAACCAGGTGCCATTTGAATGCATGCATTCTAGGGTAATTTAAGACTTACCCAATAAGATCATCAGAATCGCCGCATCAGAGGATGCCAGCCCATGCTGGTAAGCGTAATCTGCCAGGAAGGCCCCTGCAATTGGGTAGCCAAACTGGACCAGTGATGCACCGAGACAAAACAGGTGGAATGCCGGCATTCTCAGCAGCTGTCTGGTGGTGAACCCTGACACAGGAAGAGTCTCACTTTCACTCTCACTCTCAGCGGGGACAAGGCAGGGTTTTTCAGAGTTGATGCTTTCAATGCTGATATGAAATGGCTCGTAGAAACTCTGATTTGAATTGTGAAGCTCAGTTTTGTGAAATGTTGCTTGGGATGTCGAGGGCTTGTTTTCAGTCTCCGGTACGATGATGTTACCTTCCTTATTGGCCGGTTCAGACAGCTTTAAATAGCTATCTCGAGGAATGTCTTTCATTGCTCTCGAAATAATTTTGGTTAATACTTCTGAAGAGCTCGACACAGGAGGTTGGGTACTGAGCGATGCTTTACGGTCGTGAGATAGTGCTGTGAATTTCTTGTCTACAGAAGAGCCCTCTGCCTCTGTTGTGAGAATCGTGTCCTCTCCATCTACACTACTCTCGTCTTTTGGGAACTTGACAGAATCTCGGCGCTGAACATGAAATGGCAGAGTGCTTGCTTTAGAACTGAATTGGTTATACAAGTGTTTGTAATGCAGATCTCTTAGTGTTGAGATACTCCCTGTGAGGTACAAGTTACTCCCGTGGTCAGGAGGGAAAAGATGGTTGTGTGAACGTTGAGAACGGTAATTGTCGTGATTCGATTCGTGATTAGCAGTGTTGTGAGATGACAGCAACTTTTGACACCTCTCTCCTGACACGCTGCGATGGATGAGGTATCTGTGTTTTACGTTCTTCATTAAAGTAGGCAGATTGTAAACTGAATGAGGAAGAGGGTGGGGGTATTCCAACTGTTGCTGATGATTGGTGTGCAGTACATGTTCACTTCTCCACGGGACTTTGCGTGACTCAAGGCAAGTCCTGTCCAATCTCTGGCTTCCAAAATGGGGTTCAATATAAGAAAAGAGCTGAGCGTGATCGGAATTTGCTCGAGAGAAGAGACGAGTTTGGACATTGTCGAAAGTGGGCATAGACTCCCTGGCACTGTTGATATTATTCTGTGCGATCTCTTTAGAGTTAATATCTTGGCGGGAATGTTGACTATATGGCAGTGAAGTGTTATCTTTTAACAAACTCAAACTTGTTGGCTTAGTCGGCTTGTCTGTTCTATCAATATTTACAGATTCAATACCATCATCCTCAAACACAAGACATTGCTCATCTTTAGACTCATTCAGTAACGGTGGACGCTCATTCCAACATTCTGATGTCGGCCGGTCGCTGCGAGGCACCCCATCTTCTTTCCTCTGAAAGTCTCCTGACAATTCACTCTCCTTACTACAGCATCCATCTTTCCGTCCGCCCTGTTCCCCTGTCTTGCGAGAAGTCCTCATGCTGGGCGGTCGGTAGAGACTGGAGAAGACACACATGTTGAGCAGGATCCCAGCCAGGATGAGAACGGTGCCCTCGAGGTGATAGCGCTCCAGCAAGAAGTTGATGAACGGTGCAAGGCACAGCAGACCCGCCCCGGAGCCGGAAGTGATGATGCCGTTGGCCAAGCCTCGTTTCTCGTGGAAGTAACAGTTCACGATCACGACTGATGGGAGGAATACGAGGCCGCAAGAACAGCCTGTGGGATTAAAGAAAAGAACAAAGATTCACCTTTGTCTTACAATAAACTTAAAAATCAAACCCAGATATGCCCAGTCTCCGTTTTTAACCTTCCTTGAGTACCCAAGAAATGTATCCTGGTGAATGAATACACTTCTTGCAGCCAACTGAAACAATGTGCTTTAAATTTCCAAGACCAGATATTCACAAATAAACCTGAAATACGCTGCAGCTGAGTAGTGATTTGAGATTCGAGATGACAAAAGTTGCTAATGTTATGACTAATTGTTTTTATTTTTTCATATGTAGGCTACCTATGGGGTCCAAATATAGCAGAAATATATGCATGAACTGAAACTAAAATAGAGTTTTCTGACAAACAGTTTTAACTTCCCACTAACCATTTTCTATACAATCAACAAATCAATGGCGCTCTGTACAGTCTTGGGTTGAGGGTGATATAGGTTGGAATTTCCAAAGCGATACATTTTCATTTGGCATAGTTTCCGCCCTGTGGAGAAAAACACTAAAACGTAGGTTTTGTCTCTGAAATCCCTGGCACTGTTTAGAAGATTCAGACTATATCATATGGACAACCCCCATCCCCACCAGAAATATTGTAAAAACCAACTAACCAACCTACCAACCAACGAACCAACCAAACAACAAACCAACCTTAACTAACAAACCAAACAAACAAACAAAAACCAATATACAAACAAACAAAATAAAACAAACAAACAAACAAACAAACCATAATAAAAAACGAACACACAAACATCTGGACAAAGAGTAACTGAAAGTCTCACCAGCCATGAGTCCATAAGTAAGAATAAACACGATGATGTTGGGACTGAAGACACTGGCCACAAAAGCCACACAGCTGAGAACACCGCCAAGCATGGACACAGAGCGGAAGCCAAACCGACGTACCAGCTCGGCCGACACGGAACCTGAGGAAGTAGACAACACTGGACGTTAACCCAATGAAGATCCGCATTTTGGTCATTCGAAAACGCTCGAAGACATGTCGTTTGGGGGCTCTGTATTTACACAGATTTTTAGTTCTTTTATTTTCTTTAATTCTTTTATTTTCTTTACCGGAATTTTTAAAAAGGCAGGCAACTACATGAGTATATTGCTGTATACAAGTTTATATTTCTGATTTATATATGATGATTCAAAATGTGCCTTGACAGCGCGTTTCGGTCTGTTGCTAATCGGACATCGTGTCCCCGCTATGACCCTAAAGAGTTAATGTGAATTGCTGGTTTTGTAGTTGTTTAAGGTTGGGTTGTTTTGTGTTGTTGTTGGGTTGTTGTTGTTGTGGGGGTTTTTGGGGGGGATGTTGTAATGTTTGAAACTGTTGATCAGAGAACGTGGGGACATAGACAAGAAGAAGTATATCAACCTTGTTTCAGCACATTGATTGTCTGGCTTTCGATGTTTGCTGACATATGAAACTAGTGCCCACCGGCCTTTCTGGTACAGAAGTTAGACTTCTCGCCGTAGCAGAAAATACATTCCATTTCTGAAATAGGAATTTTTGTTGTTGCTTTTTTGTGTTCCATTCCTGAGTCAAAAAGTATCTGTATAGAGTATTTGTTTGTCTGTTTGTTGGTATTTATCGATTTTTCAGTAGAAGGAGTTATTCAAGCACAGTAATTTAGCACTTAGTGTTAAATATATCTCCTGGAATGCGTGACCATATTATATTTCTAAAAGCAAGACACGTTAGTATTTTGAATATAAGAGTGTTAGACAGTAGTCCATTTTAGACTTCGAGACAAATTGGCATTAAGATACAATGACCAGAAGGTGTTCCTCCTCCTCCTCCTCCTCCTCCTCCTCCTCCTCCTCCTCCTCCTCCTCCTCCTCCTCCTCCTCATCATCATCATCATCATCATCATCGTCATCATCATCATCATTATCATCATCATTATCATCGAGTGCCTGATCTAAAACAAACATCGGCGATCATGATTCTCTGTGCATTTATTTCCTCGGATGTTTTAAATGTTTCTGGTCTTTCGCAGTCACCCATATGTTTAGACTTTAATAAGTTGCTCTCGATCTACCCCTGCTTTGTTTGGATTTCGTTAGTTTTTTTCCCCCAGTGATGGCAAGTTGTTCAAACCTGTTATGTCGATTCAGAGACTGCTACGCAAAAGAAAAAAAAATAAAGGTTGTGTTTACGTACCCATGATCAGAAGTGCCAAGAAAAGGGATCCGGCAAATGACGTCACCAAGGCCGACATCTGAAACTTCTCTACGACGTAAGGGAACACGAGACCGAAGCAGCTGCCGATACCGTCAATGATGAAGGCGTTGAAGAAACTGGCGATAACGATGACCCAGCCGTAACGGCCGTCCAGGTTAGTCATGGTGATGGAGCTAACATCATTGCTGCTGGTACTGTTGCTGCAACTGGTGCTGATACTGGGGTGGTTCCCGCCGTCGTCGGATGGCGTACCCGAGTCGGCATCGTCATCTGCCACAGAATGTCCACTGGTACCGTTATTCGCGGATCTGATTGTTAGCCGTGACTCATTGTCGTTGTAGGAGGAATCCGCCACTGTTCCGGACCCTGAGAACCGGATAGCTTCACACTTCGACTCCATCGGAGATCCGGTATTGTTTTTACTTTTACGCTGTTCTGGCGCCACTTATTTGAGTAGGAGTGAAAATAAACGGCAGTTACACAAAAGTGATTGTTCCCGATTTTTATTATAGAATCTAATTCTTTGACAGTCACAGTTAATTAAGGCTGTGTCTCGTGGAACAAGAAGTGTGAATACATTATAAATAAGATGCGTAACCTACGAACGCACACTCGTCTCTGACACGACGAGACAAAGAGTCAAGAAAACTTTACATGGCCCAAAAGTTCAGGGTTCCCTTTGTTTAGTTTCAAACTGGAGTTGACGGTTCCACAGACGAATGTCTTGCAAATTCAGCTGACGTCTCGACAACCTGATGAGAAAGCAGCACCAATAAAACATTTTCAGGTAAATGTCTACTTAAGCCACCCCCC